ATAATGGGAACACAGAATGATCTTGGAGAGAGCTTTACCGAGCTGACTGTCGTAACTGAATGCTACCAGGGTTTAAAGGCTGAACGAATGACTCACAGCCACAGCGGAGAAAAGAGTTTGTGTGAACTTTAATGTAAGGACTTAAATATTAATTTTCGGATTCAACTTAGACCAGTCTACATTTTTATGTAACTGACTTAAAAATTATGACCAATCTTAAAAAAAATTTTTTTTTTAAATAAAAAATTGGATGATTAACTTGTAAGACTAGTCTAAACATTTTATGCAACTGGCCACAGATTGCTAAGAGAGATGAAATAGTAAAGAATCCAACATGGTGGTGTTGGTATAATTACCAAATACCAACAAGAACAAGGACCCAATCGAACATGAACCACAGACAGCTTGTTTAGAAAAGCACATCAATAGGTTTATTATCTCAAGCACCAGGGGAAATTGAGAATCGGCCCCCAGGTGCCGAGATCTTTTTACAGGTGTACCATTGAAATCATTCTGTCAGGTAGTATTATTTCCTGTTAGAAAAGCTGGACTAATGCAAAACTGTCAAGGCATGCACAGGGTGGTGTAGTAAGATAAATGTATCAACAAGGATGTGCTGCCCAACATGTAATCTTCAGGTAGATCAGGTAGAAAAGGACTAAAGCCAGAAACAAATGATTAAAGATCTCAGCCTCCTAAACAACGTCCTTTTTCATTACTTTCCCCTGTATATCCAAACACTTAATGTGGTACGTGAATATAAGGTATTTTAATTTTCACCCTCAACGCAAATCTGCATATCTCATCATTATGTAGGCTATCATAGGCAAGGATTTTGCACAATATCAGCATAAATACTTGTCATTTACTGGTGTAAATGCATTAAAGTTACTTGCATTTGTCACTGAAGACCAGCTATGATGACTTAATACATAATGACAATACATCACTAATTACTAAACTGGCCCAAGTTTCTTTATTTTTTAAGATTATTAGGTCCATACACCTTTATAGCTTTACTGAGTGATTGCCAATTAAGGTTAACACACAACAAACCAATATGAGCACGCTTTATAAATAGTTTATATATATATATATATATATATTATTTTTTTTTTTGCCAAAAGTTTTGGCA